CGGGCTCCCTGTGGCTTAATTGGGACTCTACACAGTACAATTTGGGGTTTATTGTACTTCTCTTATCCAATCAGAATCGAGTAATTTTGTTGGGTGTATTATAATCAGTTGAACTGAATTACCAGCGATGATTAAGAGAATATATCAAGAGTGACCCTCGTGGACTAATGGACAAGGCATCTCTCTTTGGACCAGAAGACCCCTTCACGGTCGATTCGTCAATCTTTCAAGCATACTAGTGTTCAGTACAATCCGTTCATGATCAGCGKAATATCTCAGCCTGATGACCTTCAAATGACAATTACTTTTTCCACTCATTTACACAGAAGACTCTTTTCTACAGAAAAGAAAGCTTCTTGACCAAAACCTTAAATCTAGAACTTTGGAAGCTAAACAGATACGGGTCAAGAGCAGCATTGATAGACGTTGTCAGTACCAATTGCTGTAGTTAATTCCAGTTGTATTGCTGTCCAAGAGCTACAATAAAGTTTATTGCAGATAATGGTTTCCCATTTCAGACCACGTTTCATTCTCTAGAGTATCATTTTTTGTTTAATAATACGCAATAAGAAGATGTATATGGATTCACCTGATAGTCTTATTCTCAAGAGAACGACACGTGGTCTGAAATGGGAAACCATTAAATCCAATCCTGCAGTTGGTTTTGGTTTTGAATTTCATATTTTTGTTTTCTAACTTGGAACTGTTCTTGTGTCATCGAGGAGAAGATAAGGTGCGAACAAAAAAGCTGTATTTCAGTCAGTTCTAAAAGACTGATACACCGACCCCGCCAGGACTCGAACCTGGAATCCCCTGATTCGAAGTCAGATGCCTTATCCATTAGGCCAAGAGGTCTTAGATAGTCAAAAGGGACCTTAAGCTGMACGACGGCAACGACGACGACGACGGCAATCATACAATAGCACTAATTGCGCTATTCACTAGATACTCGCTGGAATGTACGAAATACTGTGCATCATTGCCGTCTTATGCTGAAAAGTAAGATTTGAAATGTCCTATTTTTACGTACTAAAGAGAACAGCTACTCTAAAAGCTTATCTTTGCTGATTTTCGTTATAAGTAAAGCGCTCCCAAAAGACGTCATTTCACTCCAAAACGAGATGCTCATTGAGTAAAATACTAAGTAAACACAAAATAATAATACAATAGAAGGTTGAAGCGCCTCAATTTCGCCGACGTTTTCGCCCACGTTGCCGTCCTGCAGCTTAAGGTCCCTAATAGCTTCAGTGCAACTTCAACTTGTCTAGCAATTTTGTTCCAGTTGCACTGACATGATATACTATACTAGGTAATGTTTCATAGCTTTTCATGCAACGTATTTGACATTTTCAATCGTAATATTCCTAAATAAATTACGTGCGATAAAATTTCATTGCGAGATTTTATAAAATCGCAACTAGACAAGTTTCAGGAAGGATTTTTCTCTGCAATTCCTGCGAAAAGAAGAACTCACTTCTTGCCATAATCCTGGCAACGCTGCAGCAGCATATCAAGACTTTTAGTACTAAGAGGATATATAGTTTTACTTGTGGTGGTAAAATTTTCAATTAGCCTAGCTGTGTGGTTTTATCATCTAAGAAGACCGTGCAGTGATCTGAACTAAACAAGGGATGTTGCCTACGTGCAAGGATTTGAGCCAGGCTAGAAATCCTTGTTTCGTTGACTCTCAAAACTCGAAACCCTCAGAAATCAAAAAGCGATTTTGTACCCCTGCTAAACATGAGATGAACTGGTTTTTACATGTTTGGATAGAGCTTGTATATGTTGTCCATTTATACTACTGAATATCAAATACTCCATGACACATTCTCCTGCATAAAACAAGGCAAAAACATTGAAAACAGTACAAAGCTGATCATTTTGTTCTTCTATGTCCTGACATCTAGTTAAAACTGAAGTTATTAGTCTAAGGTTTTGTGACGTAATAATTTGTGACGTCGTGTTCACCTGGAAACAGTCAACTTCTTCCATTTTTTCGCCATGATCTTGACCCTTACCAAGATGCTGTCCTTTATTTTCCTCCGTTACGTAGTGTCTTAAACATTGAATGATGACACCAGACACCAAAAGGAAATTTACACTCAAAATTTTACCTTGACAACCAAAAGGGAGTTTTCTTTTAACATTCGCCGCATATGTGTGGTTCGAACTAAGGGTGGACAGGGGAGGGATTGGGTGAGTGAGGTCTCTTCTATTCTATTCCGTCAGACTAACAACGATGTCAGACAGCTTTGTATGGCCCAAACTGTCATTCTGTGCTGGAAATGATTTTGGTCATTTAAATATATAAAAGAAATTTTCCAGAGTGGCGGCCCCGTGGCCCAATGGTTAAGGCATCTGACTACGAATCAGGGGATTCCAGGTTCGACTCCTGGCGGGATCGAATAAACACATTTTTCTTACTGAATGCAAGGTAGTAGACCGTAGATTATCCTCTTGTTATGATCAGCAGCCCATTAAGGCCCCGTCCACACGTATCCGGAAATGTTTGTATYCGCAAAAAKTTTTTTGTTGATTGCCTTGTTTTCCATTGTGACAATTTGACAAGAAGCATTTTGAAAAGAAATGAGTAAAAACCTATTTAAAAAAACAAGTAAAAACTAAGTATACATGTATTTCATATAACATATTGTCAATGTTTCCAGCTCAGTGCGATCATAAAAATAACACCGAAATAACCCAGGTTCGAATGCTGGTCTCTTATGATACTATCACCTGTCGTGACGGTAATGAGCCGTGATCGTCTAGAGGTTAGGACATTGCGTTATGTCCGCAATAACCCAGGTTCAAATCCTGGTCACGGCAATAGTTTTCTTTTATTATACTTTCAGCTGTCGTGGTGGTGTTGAGCCGTGATCGTCTAGAGGTTAGGACATTGCGTTGTGGCCGCAATAACCCAGGTTCGAATCCTGGTCACGGCAA